AACATATAATAATGTATATCACATAAACAACGAGATAAACGTTGACGAAGATCATCTGACAGAGGAGTATCATGTGATGCAAGAAAAAATGATGCTTCCACACAAAGAGCTGATGGTGACCAATTTTTTATCCAATATACTTGAGTATTTTTAAGTAAACCGGGATATTCCCTAAATCAAGAGAAAAAAGCACTTTTTAACTGAATTTGAAAACAAAAACAAGATCACTTACGTCGATATACGACTAAGAAGTTCACTATGTGCTGGTAAACAAATAGCAATATGAAGATGTTGACGAATTCTCGAAAGAAAATATCGTCGTGGATCAGTTATAACAACTGTTGTCAAATTTTGATCTCTTTTATATGCATTTATGACTGCCTGAAAATTTAATAAATAAAACTTTCATAATTTTCTTCTATTTGTTTTGTTTAACAAATCTATGTAAACTTCTAGAAATATCTATGCATAGTATATTATGTTGCAACTACACCTGACGATAGTCATAGTCCATAAACAAAAACAAAGGAATCGCTTTTCACCATGGTTTCAAATAGAACTAATCGATAATTCAGTCTAATTGTCAACAAATCAAACAAGTCTTCTCGAAATACACATTCAAGAATAAATAATAAGTCAAACCGTTTAATCTCCAATACAGATGATGTAAATCAATAGAAACTAAGATAATGATCATTGCTTATAATCTTTGTTGTAATATTAATGAATGTATTTGGTTCAAAGTACTCGAAAGAGTTCCTTGCTACTAATATCTAACAAGAACTGTTGAGTATTTCAGAGTTTTTAGCACTTGACTTCAACATACTTCTAAGTGTTTAATCGGCTAACTTGTTTAGAAATTCTTCATATAAGCTAAGAGAAACTAGATATATATACTCAACGAAGTACCTGGTCAATATTACATGTGCTGACACAACTCTTAGTATAAAACAGAACCTTGGTCAAGTTTCATACGAATAGCAGAGTATTTGTTTTTTAGATATCCTACTGAAAGTTGTCAATACATTTTCTCGTAAACCTTTTTTTAAATGTCTACAACGATTATTGATTTTCTAAATTATTTCAAAGTATGTGTTTTTAATGTACGACTCCATTGTAAAGAACTTTCACAAAAGCATTTTTTTTTTATATAAAAATATTGTTTATAAAAATATACAAAGTGAATTTGTATTTATTAAATGTAGGTAATCGCGAATCTTAGTGTAGAAGAATTATAGAAATACGTGTTTAGTGAATTTTCTTAATCTCATAAAGATTAACTTTCAGTGAACAATATGAAATCAAATTGTATTCAACCATTAGTTATAGTTTCTCGTTAGAACAAACAATTATAAATAAAACACAAACCTGATAAAGTCCATCAAGTTCATCTTTACTAAAAAGATGAGGACATTCATAACTTGTCAATAGTGACGAAATAGTATCAACTATATCTGAATCACGTAAATGTTTATTCTAAATATAATATAACACTTTATGATAAAGATTTCTTTTATTATTAATATCTTACTGTCAGTAAAATTCCAATATGTCGTCCTTCAACTGCCGTTGTTCTAATAACACCTCTTAAACTATCATAAAATAAACTTTTTGTTGAATAATCAATAGTATGTTCTTGAATTTCTGCTAAATAAAATGCTAATCGAACTAATTTTGATAAATGTGAACCAATTGTACCAATAACAAATAAATTACTCCTATAATATATTAATGATTGAAATATTTATATATTATTTTTTCTATGATCAATAACTAAACTTACAAAGATGAATGAGATAAAACTCGATGCATACGTATTATATGTAAAGCTATATTTTCTGAAACTGATAATGAAAATGTATGATGACCAAATTCTTCTCTATATCGCATTGCAACTTGATCAATTGCTTTACGAAGTTGACTAAGTGATTCAACGGGTTGAATTTGAATCTATAATAAATTCAATTGTAAGTTTTTTTTTTTTATTCTAAATAATTAATTTTTATACTTTTATTTCTTTAATTATAAGTGAACTAAGTGGACGTTCATAACTTCGTCCTTCAAGTGGAAATGTAAAATAAAGATGATCTTCTTCATTTTTATCCCAATCAAATACCTGTTTAAAAGACAAAAAAAAGACATGAATTTCTTTTTCTAAAAATTTCTCCAAAGAAAAAAAAAACAAATTATTTTACATTTCGAAAAACTTCATTTATTATATCAGTAAACCAATATTGATCAATTTCTCGAACAATTTGATCATGAATAATTCTATATAATTCATGTTTAAGAAAAGGTGCTATAAATGTTGTTTGATTTCTTGTTTGTACATCAACATTTCTTAAACTTTGTATTGCAACCATAATATGACGTAATGAAAATAAATAATGTTCTCGTCCAGATATTGAACTTGGTTGAAGAACACGTTGTATACGTTGAAGTGTTTCAGTTAAAACATTAACAATTTTTGATGAAATATCATGACTTATTGGAGTTTTACC